GTGAGGCTTGTTCTTCAATCCGGCTTTAGAACCTAACTTCATGTCTTACATGCTACCATATCTAACCGCATGTTTACATACCAAGCAGAAATAAGGCCACCAAGTAGTTGTCCGTGGGCTCTCTCTCTTTCTCTCTCCCTCAATTTAGTGCAGTAGAGAAGTAGAAGTATATAGTGGGTAGCACACATAGATTCATGTAGGATTGCATCCAACTATACATGGACTTTAAGAGCTCCTAAGCTATTCATATTTGGAAAGTAAGAATTTGATGGGCATAACCTATCTGAATTTACTAAAACTTGGACTGAGGACCCAAAAAAGTGTGCTTGAGCCATCATGACCACTACAAATATTCCACCTAGTTTATAAGAATATAAGGAGTATATAAAACTAACCAATTGCCATAACCAACTTGTCAACCTAGAAGTAAACATAAGCTACGAGATGGGACAATGGTGGGGGCTGTGCATTGCATTTGCAATTTTCAATCATTGGCAGAGTTGTATAAAAATGTATAAGTGAGTGTATAAAATTAAAATTATATAATGATTTAACAAGAAGAAAAAAATTCAATACACAAGATTCTAGTTGGATAGCATAGAGAAACAACTTGACCTTAACCACTAATACATAATAATCAAATTTTAGTAGTGAGTAGAAAAATTGAGAGGGTTAAAGGAATACAATAGAGTACAAAAACAACAATATTAATTTATTATCCATACAAGGCTTAATTGGAAGAAAAGAGAGGGGAAAAAAATTAGAAGCATGAAATCAAAAAGGTATTGTTATTCTAGTTTTGTATTTTGTTTAGGGTACAATAAAAGGTCATAGTGAATTATAGTCTTAAAGAGTCCAATATACAAGAGGCATGAGTAGTATGATAGTTCTAATTTCAGCTTAACTCATGCTATGTTCTCTGTTCATGTAATCATGTTAATGGAGGTCTGACTACTATTTGAAATTACTAACCTATCTACCCAAAAATGGAAGGATATTAAGATGGTTATTTGACCCATTACTGGACAGCAGAACAAGAGCGGACTAGAGAGAAATGAAGTGCATGTCCAGCATAAAAAGGGCTTTAACCAGTCTTACTTTTAGCTGCTGATGCAATAACAAATAGTTCATATGGTACTTGTTTGGAAGTTAGAGCCAAAAACACCTTTAACTTAACTGAAAAAAGGCATTAAGGAGGCGAAAATGTAAAACAGCCCCCGAACCACCGTACGGATGTCACAACCAGCTTCCTCATGACAAATAGGACCTGTGACAGTAGAAGGAATGTAATTAGCATGTGTACATTGGGAGTTAGAGCCAAAAACGCTTTAAACTTAATCGAAAAAGGGCATTAAGGGGGCAAAAATTCTAAACAGCCTCCGAACCACCTTGTGACTCCCATGGACAGCTTCAAAACAGCCCCCGAACGACCTTGTGGCTTGCACGGATAGCTTCTCCATGACAAATAGGACTTGTGAGAACTGACGAAACGTAATTCGGACCCGTAGGTTGGGAGTTAGAGCCGAATACGCCCTAAACTTAGTTGAAAAAAGGCATTTCAGGAGCGGAAATTCAAAACATCTCCCGAATGACTATGTGGCTCACACGGATAGCTTCTCCATGACAAATAGGACTTGTGAGAACTGACGGAACATAATTCAGACCCGTAGGTTGGGAGTTAGAGCCAAATGCGCCCTAAACTTAGTCAAAAAAGGGCATTTTGGGGGCGAAAATTCAAAACAGCCCCCAAACGACCATGTGGCTCCAATGGATAGCTTCGCCATGACAAATAGGACTTGTGAGATCTGACGGAACGCAATTCGAACCCGTAGGTTGGGAGTTAGAGCCGAATACGCCCTAACCTTAGTCGAAAAAAGGCGTTCCGGTGGTGAAAATTCAAAACAGCCCCCGAACAACCATGTGGCTCGCACGGATAGCTTCACCATGACAAATAGGACTTGTGAGATCTAACGGAACGTAATTCGGACCCGTAGGTTGGGAGTTAGAGCCGAATATGCCCTAAACTTAGTCGAAAAAAGGCGTTTCGGAGGAGAAATTCAAAACAGCCCCCGAATGACTGTGTGGTTCACACGGATAGCTTCTCCATGACAAATAGGACTTCTGAGAACTGACGGAACGTAATTCGGACCCGTAGGTTGGGAGTTAGAGCCAAATACGCCCTAAACTTAGTCGAAAAAGGGTGTTTTGGGGGCGAAAATTCAAAACAACCCCCGAACGACCGTGTAGCTCACATGGATAGCTTCACCATGAAAAATAAGACTTGTGAGATCTAACATAACATAATTTGGACCCGTAGGTTGGGAGTTAGAGCCAAATGCGCCCTAAACTTAGTCAAAAAAGGGCATTTTGGGGGCGAAAATTCAAAACAGCCCCCAAACGACCATGTGGCTCCAATGGATAGCTTCGCCATGACAAATAGGACTTGTGAGATCTGACGGAACGCAATTCGAACCCGTAGGTTGGGAGTTAGAGCCGAATACGCCCTAACCTTAGTCGAAAAAAGGCGTTTCGGGGGCAAAAATTCAAAACAGCCCCCAAACAACCATGTGGCTCGCACGGATAGCTTCTCCATGAAAAATAGGACTTGTGAGATTTGACGGAACATAATTTGGACCCGTAGGTTGGGAGTTAGAGCCGAATATGCCCTAAACTTAGTCGAAAAAAGGCATTTCGGTGGCAAAAATTCAAAACAGCCCCCGAACGACCATGTGGGTAGCACGGGTATCTTCACCATGACAAATGGGACTTGTGAGATGTGACGGAATGTAATTCGGACCCGTAGGTTGGGAGTTAGAGCCGAATACGCCCTAAACTTAGTCGAAAAAAGGCGTTTCGGGG